TGCATTTCTTCTCCCTATTCCCCCCCCCCTATTTTTCTTTTCCGTATTTTGACATTCCTATTGCTTTGGTGTCCTCCTCTTCTCCCCTTAATTAAATGATCTAAACGACCGTTGACCTGAGAACCTCAGCTTATTATTTAGTGTTGGGTTTTTTTGCATCGCTGTCCTCCTCTTCTCCCCTTAATTAAATGATCTAAACGACCGTTGACCTGAGAACCTCAGCTTACTATTTAGTTTTGGGTTTTTTTGCATCGCTTTAAAGCATCTTCATCGTGTTACATGTAAACTTGCTGTTCAGCCTGTCTATAAGTTTGAACTCTTCACTGCCATTCCGCTGTATTTGGAAAAAGTGTGCCTTGCACACGAAAGCGGCTCGAACCTTGAATAAACTTTTTGTTGGTCTTAAAAGGTGCCGCTGGACTCTCAATTTGCATTACTTTCCAGTTTGGAAAATGAAGGAAACCAACCCGACCCAAAAGCAGGGGCGTGCACCCCACCCATTGTTATAAATCTGAGTTGCCTTAAAATGTTTTGCCTTCCTCTCTGTTTTTAGGATGGGGTTCGCTCTCTTGCCCTGATCAAGCTGGGTTCTTAGAGTGCTTTTGCGCCGGTTCTCTGTATAATGGATAGACTGTACATCGCTGTGCTTTTTTTTTTTTTTGCAGTGTTGCAGAGGCAGAAATTGGGTCCCTGCCTGCGAGGAGGATACATTTGCATTTATTTATATCCCCACTTTCTCTTCCACTGGGACTCAAAGCTGCTTAGAACATGTTATTTATATATGTTATTTATAGTCCACTTTTCTCACCGGAACTCAAGGGGGCTTACGCAGAGTGTGTCAATATGATGAACAGTAAGCAATGAAATAGGAGGTGGGTTGTAGAACCAACCAGAAATCTTTTTTTAAAAAATAGAACATTGTTCTTCCCTCCGCTGCTCTCTCACAACAACCCTGAGAGGTAGGGCAGTTAGTGACGGGCCCCAAGGTAACCCAGCCAGCTTTCATGGTAGAAATCAGGATTCAAATGTAGATCTCCCTGGATATTAACCTGACACTCTATCCGCTATGTCCCACCAGCTGTCAGAGAGCTTAATACAGCAGGTATCCAGAGGCAGTTTAGACACACAAGATTTTGTTCCAGTGTGGGCTTTTGTGGCTCGTAACCCATTTTTGAAAGTTTGTGCTGGAATACGTCTTGTGAGTCTTGCAGGTGCCCAGATTTAAAATGTATTCCAACTTGTATCCGTTTTATTATTTATTCCGGAGGCATCTGATATATGTGAGCTCTGACCCACGGAAGCTGATGCTGGAAGAAATTTTGTTTGTCTTTAAGGTGCCATTTGGACTCCTGTTCTGTTTAGCTACGACAGGCCAACCCAGCAACCCAGCTGGCATTATCCCCAAGGAGTTTAGCAATCCAGAATCAACAATGGAAAAGGGGGGGAGGGAGTCAGAGAGGAGGGGAATATAAACCTATTACACTCTGCCTCCGGGACCTGCTTGAGGTGACCTACAAAGTTAAAAAAAACAAACAGGAAATCGTTTTTTAAAAAAATTGTGTGTGGGGGGGGAATTAGGTGCCCTCAAGTCATTTCTGACCTCTGGCAACCTGAGGGATTAACGACCTCCCAAATATCATATTGTTTACAGTCTTGCTCAGATCTTGCAAACTTTAAGAATAATCAATGTTAAGACAAAAAACACTGAAGAAACAAGCCAAGGGCATGAAAACAGCATAAAACCATCTAAAACTGTATCGGTAAAACAGTCCTCAGGCTAGAAGAGAGCTGTAAAAACAGCTGGCAGCTTTAAAAAGAGGGAACCCAATGCTAGCTCTCCAGCAACTCCTCTTCCCCGTCCCCTCCCCAGTCATTCCCAGGGCCTCCATGGAATGTTTTTCAGAGTTTTATGCATCGTTGCCAACCTCCAGGTGGCACCTGGAGATCTCCAGCTATTACAACTCATCTTCAGATGACCGAGACCAGTTCCCCTGGAGAAAATGGCTGCTTTGGAGGGCGGACTTTGTAGCATTACACTCTGCTGAAGTCCCTCCCCTCCCCAAACCCCACCTTCCTCAGGTGACCCCCCCCAAATCTCCAGGTATCCCCCTACCCAGAGCTGGCAACCCTACTTTATGTAATAGATAATTGACAAATTGCTGCAGTGGCATGGGGGGGGGTGGCCTTGGGGGACTGGGGTAGGTAAATTCGCACCAAGGTGGACGGGACCAAGAATTGGGTTTCCAGGTCTCCCCTGGCCACCAGCAGGGGGTGAGGGGGGTTCCAAGTTGGGAAAACTCCTGAATATCTTGGAACTGAGCCTGGGGAGGACAGGGACCTCAGTGGAATACAATACCATAGAGTTCACCCTCCAAAGCATCCCTTTTCTCCAGGGGAACTGCCAGTTTGGTGTAGTGGTTAAGTGCGCGGACTCTAATCTTGGAGAACCGGGTTTGATTCCCCACTCCTCCACTTGCACCTGGCTGGATGACCTTGGGCAAGCCATAGTTCTGTAAGAGCTGTTCTCTTGAGGGCAGTTCTCTCAGAGCTCTCTCAGCCCCACCTACCTCACAGGGTATCTGTTGTGGGGAGGGGAAGGGAAAGGAGTTTGTAAGCCGCTCTGAGACTCCGAGTAAAGGGCGGGGTATAAATCCAATCTCCTCCTCCTCTTCTTCCTCCCCCTCCTCCTCCTCCTCTTCGTCTTCTTCTGTAATCTGAGATGAGGTGTCATTCCAGGGGATCCCTGGGTCCCACCTGGAGCCTGGTATCCCTGACCAAGAAAAATCCGGACTTTCCAGTCCATGTAGCCGCCCACCTCCACCCCACCGCCTGCTGGCTTGGCTGCAATCTTTCCAAAAAAGGTGGTAGTCAAGCAGATTTTGGAAAGATTGCGGGCAATCTAGGTGAAATCCGGACAGTGCCCCAGAGCACCATAATGCTACGTGGAGAAGGAGGGCGAAAAAAGCTACCGTGAGCTCCCAAGCCAAGCCAGATAGGTGGTATGGAAGCCTTTGGGAATGACGATTCATTTGGGAATTATGATTAAGGATATCAGTTGCATAGAAAAGATGAGTTTTGAGGACAGAGTTGAAGCAAAGTGGCACCTGAGACCACGGTCACGCAGGGACAATGAGGTATCTGAATAGTCCAAACCCCTTCAAAACACTAATGTATAAATTATATACTTCCTTTATAGCCTGGCTATAAGTATATATATAGATGGTAGCCCTACATGAACCAGCTGTTGTTTATTTACTAAGAACAGGGAGATTTGTTGTGTTCTTAATTTAACAATAGTGACAGAAAGAATACCAACTTTTGAGCCTTTCGCCCTGCTGGTAAAAACGTAAGAGTCCCACTGGATCGGACCAGGGGTCCATCTAGTCCAGCATCTTGTCTCATACAGTGGCCAACCAGTTCCTCTGGAGGCCCAACAATGGGGCATAGAAACCGAGGCCTTCCCCACGGTGATGCCTCCTGGCGCTGACATTCAGAGGTCTACTGCCTCTGAATATGGTTGCTCCCTTCCATCACCACGGCTAGTAGCTGTTCAGGTACCTCTCCTCCACGAACCCCCGTCTAATCCACTTTTAAAGCCATGTGTGTCCATAGCCATCACTGCCTACACTGGCAGTGAATCCCACAATTTAACTACTTGTTGGGTTAAAAAGTATTTCCTTTTGTCTGTCCTAAATCTACTCCCCATCACCTTCACTGGGTGCCCCCAAGTTCTAGTATTATCTTCCCCAGGCATCATTTTATAAACCTCTTCCCCCTTAGTTTTTTTTTTTCCCCTAAACTGAACACCCCCCCCCCGTTTAACCTTTCTTCATAGGGAAGGGGTTCCGACCCCTTAATCACCTGGGTTGCCCTTCTTTACACTTTTCTCAAGCTCTGCAACATCCTTTTAAATATACAACAACCAGAACTGTATGCGGTCTTCTGAAAAGAGGCTGAACCTGCTCCTTGGGAGGAAAGCGATGGCTTAATGTATAAATTATATACTTCCTTTATAGCCTGGCTATAAGTATATATATAGATGGTAGCCCTACATGAACCAGCTGTTGTTTATTTACTAAGAACAGGGAGATTTGCTCAAGGCACACAGGGAAAGCTCCCGTCTACAATACAAATCAAGGATTTCTTTTCATGCTGGCTTAAAAGATCCCATTTTATTATTTCCACATTCTGATGCCAACACCCCTTTCCCTCCTCTTCCTAGTTGCAAAGGTATAAAGAGTTATTCCTCAGCCCCAGTTTTTGTAGTCACTTTGGACCACATCCTGTAGCCCTCTCACTTCTATGTTCTAGGGAGCTGTCTCTGCATCTCCTTCCCCTGCTTGGTCAGTTTCACCCCCACACACACACTGAGAACAACCCCCCTTTCTCTCCAGGAGCAGGTTTGTATGTCTTATTTTCTCTCTAAGTTTTATTCCTCAGAAGGTAGGCAATTTTCTAGGGAAAGGTTTTTATGTGTCATTTACAACAATGCTCCCCCCCTTCTATAATTTTTATTGCCATCGTTCTACTTGCATAGATTTAGGTTTTCTTTCTCTTTATAAAACAAAACAAAACCCCTTCTGTTTAAGAGTCCCCCCCCCAGTTTTTTCTGAGTGTTAATCTGAATCTGGGCCTTGATATACACAGGCTTAAGGGCCTGAAGTCACCAAAATACACATCCTAGCAAGGGGACATTACAGCCTATTTGGGTAACAGACACATGCATACACACTGTAGTGTGTACCCAGCCATGCACAGACTTTGAAAAGCAGTACTTTCCCACTCCTGCTGC